GGAAGCCGAGGTGAAGGTGGCCGTCCCTTAGCTCCAGAGGGGACTGCTCCTGCTGACTCTTAGTGTGGGGTCCTGCCCTGCGGGATGGTGAGGCTTTAAGTGAGGGTCTGTGGAGCTCTGTCTTGTGGCCAGCAGCCACAGGAGACTGACAGGGAGTCCTCTGCCTTCCCATGTGCTGTCTCGGTCCCTGAACTCAACAGGGTCTTGAGCACCTCCTGGGCTCGGGCTACTAGGGTCCTCTCACCCCATCACTACTGGGTGACTAAGACACCCATGTGCATGGCCATTACTCTGAATGATGCAGAGTTCCTCAGACGGGTCTCCTGCTCCCCACCAGGCCCATGGTACCCCCTCAAGAAAGCTGCCTGGGCTTGTCCTGGTGGAACAAGCTGCTTCCCCTGACGGGAGGGAGACAGGCGCAGTAGAGCGCTGGTTTCTTCCAGATGCTGTTTTGGGGATTCCTGCTGGCAGACTCAGGTGTACAGAAGAGCAGGTGGCTGGAGCAGGGGTACCCAGCCCATGCACCCAGACCTCCTGTCCCCATCTCTGTCTGTGCGGCTGCTGTTGCCAAAAGCTGTAACTTGTTCTCATTATCCACAGAGCCACAGGCAGGAAAAAAGAGACCTCAGGAGTGGCCCCACATATAAAAGGAAGAGACCCACCTGCTGTTGGATGGAGTGGGGAGGAGTGGGCTGGGTGGTCTCTCTGGTCACTGGGTGACCAGGTCAAAGCTGGGAAGCACAGCTGCCTACAGTCACTGGGAGTCTGAATCGTGTGTCTCAACTTGTAATATCCCTGCCTGGAAGCTGCAGTAGCTCAGGACTTGGTTGTTTCTCCTTCTCCTTCTTCTTCTTCTTCCTCTTCCTCCTCTTCTTCTTTCTCCTCCTCCTTATTCTTCTTAATGGATTTTATTGCTATTAGTAATCTTGGTATACATAATGATCACATAAATCATAGGAAACTTGTATCTGTATATAACATTTTACTTCTTTTTCCCCCATTCCTCTCCCCTTCTTTCAGCCCTTCTTTTCCACTCCTTATTTACAACCTGTTTCCATTTTTCCTTCTATTCTCTTTTTTCTTCTCTCCCTTCCCTCACCCCTCTCCATTGTTACCCTTTCCACTTGAACATTTTTTTTCTACTTCCCAATATCTGTCATCCGTTGTGGCCCTTATTTATGCTTTTGGTTTCTTGCACAAGAAAAACAAGCAATATTTAAACATCTGTGTCTGATTGATTTCACTCAAAAGTATGGTCTCAAGGTGCATCCATTTACCTAAAGATGTCTCAGGTTTATCCTTCTTTATGGCAGAGTAGTATCCCACTGTACATAAACACCTTTCTTTTTTTTTTTCTTTTTTTGAGACAAATGACCAATGATGTTAAATACTTTTTCATGTATTTATTTGCTATTTGCACTTCTTCATCTGAGCTGTGTCCATTCATTTCAGATGCCCATTTTTGGACTGGGTCTTTAAATTTAGGGGGTCTGATTTTTTTTGAGTTCTTTATATATTCAGATATTAGTCCTTTGAGGAATAGCTGATAAATTTTTTTCCCATTCTGTGGGTTGTCTCTTCACTCTGTTGGTTATTTCTTTTGTTGTGCAAAAGCATTTTTATATGAAACCCCAGTTGTTCTTTGTAGTATTTCCTGTGCAATCAGGATTTTGTTCATAAAGTATTTGCCTATACCTATGTCTTCAAGAGTTTTACCTATTTTAGGGACTTTTGGGAAGACAGCAGAGCAGTAAGTAGCATAGAAAACAGCCTCTCTGACAGTCACCATCCAGATGCTGGACTCATGAGGAAGACAAGAAGAAAGTGGGTCCCCTGGACCTAGGAAGAATCTGAAGTACAAATTGAAGGCCACAGAGAGTAAAAAGAGAAACTTCAATGAAGAAGCAGTAGTTGGTGCCTTCACCCCGAGATGGCCTCACTGCATGAGAGGAGCTGTTTGAACCTGGAGACACGTGGTCATGGTGACGGTGCTGGCTGGTGACCCCAACCCCGAAGGCCTCTGCAGAGAGGTGCGGGAATGGAGGGAAGTGGCAGACATAGAGGACTGCACTGGCTGGCAGTGAGTGCAGAGGACTCAGTCCTCCTGCAGGGAGAGAGGGATTGGCTGGGAGCCATGCTGGCGTCAAGCCAGATAAGCCAGAACTGCTGCAGGCTTTCTCTAGCTGCTCCTGGCTGGGCAGACCCATGGCAATTGCTTGGCCTGCAGCAAGCCCAACGAGTCTGGCGTCAGAGCAGGCCTGCTGAGTTTATCCACTACTCTGCCGTAAAGCAACTGCTACCTTGCTGGAATAGAGTGGCACAGTTTGGGACTCTGTCTCCACAGGTTGTCTCCTAGTGAACCTAGAGAGAATCTTGGAAGTGGACTGTTTCTCTTTTTCCTGTTTTTCTATGTATTTTTCATATATCTATATATATTTTCATATATACTGGTTATATATGAATGTGAAAGTGGTTCCTAATCTCTTTGTGGGTGTGGCTCTGTCCTGTTCTTCCTTCTTCCCTTTTCCTTCAGTCTTTGGCACAGTTTCCCCAAGCTGATGTGATTCTCCTTTGTCCTCAACCTTATTTCTAATCTTTCTCTTCGTCCACTTTTCTATTTTCTCCTTAACCCATTTTAAATTTTATTTTATTTATTTATTTTTTGTCTTTTTGAGGCAGGGTCTCACTATGCAGTTCAGGCTGGCCTTGGGCTCACTTTGGCCAGGCTGGTCTTGAACTGGCGAACAATTCTCCTGCCTCAGCCTCTCAAATGCTGGGATTACAGGTGTGTGCCACCATGCCCAGCTCCATTTTAAATTTTAAATTGAAGGCAAAATTGACACATTACAGATTTATATATTGCATATAATTAACTGGTTTTCTTTTATATTTTGTTATATAATCAAAAAATCTAGGGCTGGGGATTTAGCTCAGCAGCATAAGCAACTGCCTGGCAAGTGTGAGATTATGACTTTGATGCCCAGTACTAAAAAAAAAGAAATTTATAAAAAAACTATTTCATATGGTTCAAAGTTGCAAATTAAGGGTTAGCTCAGTTTGTTGTTTTATATGCTGTGTTTGATGCTATTGGTATCCCTAGAGTCAATACTGACATAATTGTTCTAAAAAGCCATTGGTCCTGATAATCCATGACTGTTAACTAAGGGTCACAGAAAATACAGGTACAGTGGCACAGTACCAAAGAACCAGGGACAGGGACAAACAAGAGTTTTATCTATTTTATCTTCCAGCAGAGTAAGTGTTACTGTTTTCATATTTAATTTTAGTTTAGTGCATGGTGACAATTATGGGTACAGGTTTAACCTTTGGCACGTGGGGCTGGGGATTTAGATCAGTGGCATAAGCACCTACCAAGCAAGTGCAAGGTCATGAGTTTGATCCCCGATCCAAAAAAAAAATCTCTGACATGTGGAGAGCCAGTTTTCCCAGCACCCTTTATTTATTTTTATTTTAAAGAGATTAAAACCAAACCAAACAAAACAAATCGATATAAGACTTTAAAACAAGACAACAGGAAATTAACAATGGTTATCATAATACATCTTGTTATCTTCAAAATAGCTGTCCAGATCATGAGACATAATAAAACTAAAAAAAGTAGAATAAAACCAAACCAAACCAAACAATGAAGACGAGTCTTCAAAACAAAGTAATAGGAAATCAACCGTAGCTATCACATGCATCTTATGTTTTTTGTTTTGTTTGTTTTGGTACTAGGGATTAAACTCACGACCTCATATTTGCCAGGTGGCGTGCTTGTGCTGCTGAGCTAAACCCCTGGCCCATGCATCTTGTTAAATTAAAAATAGCTGCCCAGACCACCAGGCATAGGCATGTAAAATTAACCAAACAAGAGAACTAAATTGAAATTTCAGATGTGTGACCTCTAATTACTACTATGTCTGTGTCTCTTAAACTTGTTCTGGGTAGGCTGGAGGTCTGAGATTGTATTTTGCGCCTTTGTCTTGACATTTTTCTTGTGTTTCTCTGAATCAGCCCATTCTCATCACCATTTATTTATCTTTCTTCCACTGAAGGTGTTTGGCCCCTTTGTCAAAGATACCGTTGCTGAATGTGTTTGTAGTTGCTTCTGCATCTTCTATTCTGTTCTATTGAACAGGTCTGTTTGCTTTTGTTTTTTCCCAGTACCATACTGCTTTCATCACAATAACTTTTTATTATAGTTTTGAGTCTGAGATTGTGATGCCTCCTGCCTTGTTTTTGTTGTCCAGAATTGCTTTTGCTATTCTAGGTCTCTTCTGGTTCCAAAATGAATTTTAGGACTGTTTTCTTATAGAAGTATGCTATTGGTATTTTGTTTGGGATTGAATTAAACCCATATACAAGTTTTGGTAGTATGGCCATTTTCACTATATTGGTTCTGCTTATTCAAGACTTAGCTTCTGAACTGTAAATATATTAATACGTGACATGTAGCGCTGGGCCATGAGAAGTCTGGCAGCACTGTTTGGCAGGGGGATGTGGACTGAAGAAAGAGCCGGAGAACCCTGACACAGCCCAAGCCACTCTGGAGCCATCCTGAGGGCCCGGATTAGGCGGCCGCCGCTGCACTCGCAGCACTGACACCCGCAGGACTGCGTGGCTGAGCCGGCCACAGCAGACGGCAGGGACGCTCACCACGACCTTCGGATCACCAAGCTCCGCGCTGTGTTACAAAGCAGGAGTCACTCAAAGTCACGCACTGGCTCCCCAGGCCGCAGGCAGAACAGCAGCCCCGGGGACAGCGGCTGGGACGCAGGGCAGCTTCTCCGACTAGGGATCGCGGGCTCCTCCCCGCCGGGAGACCCGAGGGCCGCAGGGCACGGCCAACCTGCCGGGACGGGGGCCTGCACCACACCGCGCGCCGCGCCCCGCCCCGCCCCGCCCCGCCCCGCCCCGCCCCGCCGCCCCGGCCGTGCCCGGGGCCCGCCAGCGCGCACCTCTGCACCCCACCGAGTCCCAGCCCCACCTGCGCTCCGCCCTTCGATCACCACGCATGCCCGGGCCGCAGGCACGCATGCGCAGCCAGCTCCTCTCGGCCCACCCTCGCCGCTATGGAGCGCATCGAGGGCGCGGCTGTGGGCCCCTGCCCCAGCTCCATCTACCTGTGTCCGCTGCGCCTGCACTACCGCCAGGTGAGCGCTGGCCACGGCGCCGCCTCGGCCCGTGCCGCCTGGCTGCCCCGCGGACCCCGCCCCGCGAGGCCCCGCCCCTCCTGCGCTTTCCCCCGCCCCAGGGTTGCCCCACCCACCGCCCTCCCAGTCCCGGGTGCTCGCCGGGCACTCGGCCCTCCCCTGCAGGCCCTCCCCACCCTGGGCCCTCGCGCTCAGCTCCGATCCCTCCTCTGCACCCTGCTCGCAGGTTCCCAGACTCTGACCCGTGCGGGAGCGGGGTTGGAGGAGGCCATTCGGCCCCTCAGCGAGCATTGCTGGTGTCGGTTTTTTTCAGCCCAACCCTTCCCTCCTTTGCGTTTGGACTCATGGTTGATCTGGGGAATCCTAGGAGTGGTGGCCAGCCTGCTTAGACTTTGAGCCAGATGGTAGGGTAGAGAGAGGGGAGGCCGAAGAGGGCGCCTCTCAAGGAGGGACGCTCATGGGAAGCACCGTACCTACCCAGCGCAGGACAACCCGTGGACAACCTGGGGCCGCTGTGAAACAGCGGGACCAAGGCTCCTGTACTCAGTAGTGTGCACACAGTAGGCTCGCGAAAACACTTGTGCCTCCTCTTTGGCCGCCTTCCCCTACACCTGTCCCTTGTCCTGGCCCTCTACCTCATGCCACCTCACAGCCTACACAGTTGCTTCTCAAGGCCACTCGGGAGAACCCCCTTTCTGCATCTACAGCATGGCCCCTGAAACCCCAGGTTGGCTAGAGCCAAAGAGTTCTCTACCCTGGGAGAAACTCTTTGTTGCCTATCACCTCCAGGCCCCCAGTGGAGAGGCCCATATGCCTGCCTTCTCTGCTGCCATGCTTCTGTTGCCTACCGGTGGACAGGGTGCTGAGGGCCTGCAGGCCTGGGGGAGTGGAGGGTACCTAGCTGGGGGGGAGGGTTGGGGATGAGGTTCAATGCTGTTTTCCCTTTCCCTGGGCCAGGGCCAGGGCCTGGAAGCCGGTGATGTGGGCTGCCTTATTGTGGCTACCCTTCCTGTTGGTGGGCAGGTGGGCAGTGAGCAGGTGAGCTGGGCAGGGACCTGTGAGAGTGGGGCTGCTGCTCCCTCTGCCGCCCAGATGGCTTTGTGGCTGTGGTAGGAAGCCTGCTGGCGTATTTTCACTGACAGTGCTGATGACCACAGCTGTCCTGAGTGTGAATGTATGGTAAGGGGCCAGGGACACCAGACTGGACAGGGTTTGCCAGTGGGGCACAGCTGTACCCCTTGGCTGCTTGTGGTACATGGCCTGAGAGGTCTGGTCGTGGGCATGTGGAGCAAGTGCCCTGTGGCATTGAGCAGCACAGGGCAGGTGTACCTTGGCCTGACCCTGCTTCCCATGGCCTCTACAGGCCTCTAGACTGCTTCCTGTGCCTCTCACAAAGTTTTGATCTTGAGCTGAGAGGGTCCCTGAGATCTATCTGGGCGACCATGACCTGGGGCAGGCCCAGCCTACTCATATAGTATTCAAGGGCCTCCCCTGGAGTGGCCCAGTGGGTGGTGGCCCCCTGGGTGGCAAGACAGCAGGCAGGCCCAGGCTCGCCTTTCAGGGTGGTGCTGCAACGGCCTCTCAGAGCTTCTCAGACAGCTGGACCTGCAGGCCACTGCCCCCCACCGTAGAAACCAGGATGTCTCTGCTGCAGGCCAAACTCAGGCCAATCTCTGGGCCTTGCCCAACAGGCTCCTGCCTAGAGCCCCTTTCCCACTCAGTGTCACCTCCAGGAAGTCCTCAGGGGCCATTCATGAGTGGCAGCATGAGCCATGCTGACTGAGGATGAGTGACATGGTAGGATCCAGGTCCAGCGCCGTCTGCTGAGACCCCTGGGAGGAGTGGCCACCATCTCTGGCCCAGGTAGAGCCCATTTTGCTCAGTGCTGGCTCCTCCCACCTGGAGCCCTGTTGTTAACCTGGCTCCTCCAAGGGCCCAGCCCTGCCCCAGATCCTGATGTCGCTGAGTGTGGTTAGACACTGGGAATGTGACCACAGGAAGTGTAGGGACAGCCCGGTGAGGACCCTGGATTGGCAAACTCTGGTGCTGGGATCACTCAGGAGGCTGGCCGATCCTCCCTGCCTGTCTGTGTGCCTGGTCCAAGGGGCCATGTGTGCTTTCATGGTGAGCACTTGAACTTGGTTTTGTCTGCTTGGGACCCTTCCTTGTCTGTCCGTAAGGCTGTCACTGTGCTACTTCTCCCCATGCCCGCCATGGTCCTTCACATACTGGGTGACAGCTTGCATCTCTGTGCAGCCCTGTGGTCCTGGGTCCTTCCTGCCTTTTCCCAAGTTTTCCACATCCCCCTTGGGTGCACCTTGGCCTGCATGCCTAGCTCCTGAGGGGAGCCCCTGATGGGCAGCCGATCTGTCTGGGCTCTACCATGCTGGCAATGCTGGACCTTGCTGACTGCCACTTTTACTTCTTTCAGAATGGTGCCCAGAAGTCCTGGGACTTTATGAAGACACATGACAGGTGAGGGCCTACCCTGACTGCTGGGGCCCATGAGGACCCTGGGGCCTGAGGTGTGGGGACCCATTTCTTCCTTGTTTGTGCTCCTTCATGGTCTTTACTATTCCTTGTCTAGCCCAGTGCTGGTTTTCCTGTCACCTATATGTAGCCACCTGTTGCAGGTCAGAGGGGGCCAGGCAGTAGCTGCACTCCTCTGACAGTTGCTCCCTGTGAGGCTTGAGGGGCCAGCCTGGGGCACTTGCTCCTAGCATGGGGGTGCAGTTGTGGGTGCAGTTGTGGGTGGCAGGCCATCTGGGGCAAGTGCTTGTCAGTTACCTGGCCTCTGTTCCACCTACCTCTCCCCTCTGGAACACAGTAGGCCCATTTCCTAGCCTGGCTTTGTCCCTGGCTAGCTCTGGTCCTAGTTGGCCCCACCCTCCCTGAGTGAGGGCCTGACCTCCCTGGCTGGGGTGGGGAGCTGGGAATGGAGCCCCTGCTGAGCCCCCACCCCACAGTGTGGCCATCCTCCTGTTCAACTCTTCAAGGAAGAGCCTCGTGTTGGTGAGGCAGTTTCGGCCAGGTGAGGTCTGTGGGTGGGGTGTGGGGGGCCAAGGGTCTGAAAGCAAATGTGGGCAGGGGTCCAGGGGAAACAGGCCTGGTGAGGCATGTGGCCCCGAGCCAGTCACTGGGAGGTGACTGGCATATGGCCGTGTTCTCCATCCAGCTGTGTATGCAGGTGAGATAGAGCGCTGCTTCCCGGGGTCCCTGGTGGCCTTAGCCCAAGATGGCCCTCCGGAGCTGCTGCCAGCCCTGCCTGGCTCTGCAGGGGTGACAGTGGAACTGTGTAGTGGCCTCGTGGACCAGCCTGGCCTCTCGCTGGAGCAGGTGGCCTGCAAGGAGGCCTGGGAGGAGTGCGGCTACTGCCTGGCCCCCTCTGACCTGCGACGGGTGGCTACATATAGGTGAGAAATGGCCCGGGATGGGATAGGTTGGGTGGGACTGAGAACCCTGTTGATGCATGCAGGATACCCTGTTCCTTGGCTTTCATTGTGTCATGGAGGGCTGGAGATTTAGCTCAGCAGCATAAGCACCTGCCTGGCAAGCGTGAGGTTGTGAGTTCAATCCCCAGTACCCAAAAAAAAAAATTTTCTGGTCAATGTGGCATGGAAGGGTGCGTCTCAGCTGCCTCAGAAGGCCAGGAACCTGGTGCTGGGCTCCTCCTGGGCACACTTGCCTGTATCTCCACCCTGCAGCCTAGCATGCAAGCCTCGGCTCGGTGACAGCTGCTGCCGACAGATGCCTCCACTTCCTGTGGGATTAAGCACCGGGTGCTGGGGGTGGAGTGAGTCACATCGCTGTCCTCAGGAAAGGCATGGGGACAACCTAGCCTGGTCCCTGCCCCCACCAGGCCCAGGTGATCCCTTGGCCCCTGTGGGAGCCAATGACCAGGTCAACCCGCTGAGAAGAGGATGTTGGGGTGAAGCCATGCCCTGCCCTGGGGACACTGTAGTGGGACTCTGACCCCAATTGAGGTCTTCCAGGCCCACTGCTAGCCAAGCTGAGCACCAGGCTTTGCGACCTTGTCAAGACCAGAGCCACTCCCATTTTTGCTGGGCCAGGGGCTCTCTTCTGTCAGCCTCCCAGGGTCCCCCTGAAGGCAGGCTTTCTAGGGCCAACAGCTGGCTATGTGGAGGGCAAGGACTGGCCTGGGTTCTCTGCAGATTTCCTGATCACCCAGCTGGGTCCTGGCCTGAGAGGTGGGCCAGTTAGAGGGGCAGGCAGGGGCTGCTGGAGGAGGTGTCCAGGCACCTGGATGGGCAGCCCTGGCTGTAGGGTTCCCGAGCAGGGCTTCAAGCTGGGAGGGGTATCTGGGTGGGGGCACCTGCTCAGTGAGCACTTTGAAGAGAAGGCTGTAGTTGTGTAGAGATGGGCTGGGTAGAGGTCGGGCTGCTGTCTGTGCAGTCTCACAGGGAGACAAGTCCCAGAGTCCCAGATCTGTCAGTCACTCAGTGACATGGATCCCATCTGTGAAACCCTCCTGCCTCTGTGTACAATAGCTAATCACAGAAGACAAGCTTGGCATGCCTAGGTCCCCCTTACCCCGGGCTGGGCCTCACAGGGAGTGGAGGCCTCTGTGTGGCTCAGTGGGCCAATCTCACCCTACAGGTCTGGAGTGGGATTGACAGGCTCCAGCCAGACCATGTTCTACGCAGAGGTGACAGATGCCCAGCAGAGTGGGCCAGGTGGGGGCCTGGCAGAGGAGGGTGAACTCATCGAGGTTGTGCACCTGCCCCTGGATGGTGCACAGGCCTTTGCGGAAGACCCTGACATCCCCAAGACCCTCAGTGTTATCTTTGGCATCTCATGGTTCCTCAGCCAGGTGGCACCCAGTCTGGGTCTGTAATGAGTCTTAGGCTTCGGACTTCGATCTGGACTGAGGCTGATCCAGGCCTGGCCCTGCCCTATAGACCAATAAAGCTGAGTACTTAGCTGTTGGTCCCATGCTGAGCTCTGACCTGGGCAAATTGGAAGGGGAAGGGGAAGAAAGGGAAAGGGAGGGCTGACTATTGGTGAGGGTCCCTTGCTGCCCTGTGGCAGGCCTGCAGAGGAACAGTGGATGCTGACTGGGGCTGGGGACATGCTGGCCTGAGGCCACAGGAGGGGCTGCTAGGGGAGGGAAAGGGAGTGTGCAGCCCCAGGGCCTGGCCCCCTGGGCAGTGTGTCCAGGGTGAGCCATGGCCACCAGTGTGGAGTGGAGCCAGCCCGGATCTGCACAGCGCATACTTCCTGCTCCTGGCCAGGTGAGCATTTCTGCCTACCTACTGCTGGGCTTGAACCACTCCTGTGTACCCCTTGGGCCAGGGCCTATGAGTGGAGCTCACTGGATCTTGGGGCATGAGCAGTGTCCGTAGGCCCCTTCTCAGTGGGACCAGGACCATGATGTCTGTGGCCCTCAGTGCCCTGCTGGCTTTGAGTGTTGGTGCCCAAAGTGCCTGGGATGCAGGACAGCAGTCACCTCCTGGCCAGCTGTGTGAGTCTGGCTTATGGGACAGGAGTGTAGATCCATCTTCTGCTCTAAGGACCCTGCTAGAAAATATGTCAGGGGCTAGGTTTGTAGCTTCCAAAGGGTCAAGGCTGAACCTTTATGAGTGTGGCTACCTATCTGGCTGGTCCTTGCCCAGTGCCTCAGCCCTGGTCAGCTCCCTGGGCAATTCTGGGAGCCTAGGAAGGGCAGCCTGAGTCTGGAGGACAGAGCCAGGGGACCAGTAGCTTGCTGCATTAGGACTCCCTGCTCTGAAGCTCTACAGGCCCCATGGTGGACAGACGGGGTGACCGCGCTCTCGCAGGTGCTCTGTGTGTCAGCATATGAAAGTACCTGGCTCTGTCAATTGCTGGCCTGGGCAGCAGCCCAGGAATACTGGGAACAATGCTACTAGGCCCTGGGTTGTCTGGCTCAGGCAGGGACCCCCTTGGGCAGCACCACCTATGTGCAGATGCTGGCTGTGACCAAAGTAGGGCCTTGTGGGATTTAGGCTAGGCAGGGATATGGCTGTGGGTAGTGGTCTTGTGGTATTCAGGCCCTAAACCTAACCTTAACCCTAACCCTAACCCTAACCCTAACCCTAACCCTAACCCTAACCCTAGCCCTAACCTGCCTGGAGCAGCCTCAGCAGGACAGACTCCGAGGACATGAGCCACTTAGCCTGTCTTCTTCCAATGGAAGCCTGCCCAGTATCCATCTGGGGGTCTCCATAGCATTCTGGGGGACCTGCAGGTGCTTCGAGCTGCTGTGGAGGAGCACAGGTGGGCATGGGTGGAGGCTTTGGGTGGTGGGTGAGCAGAGGCAAAGATAGGGGACCTGGGTTTCGTGCAGTCCAGCCCCTGCAGGCTCTGCAGCCTGATGGGCGGTCAGCAGGCACCATGGCAAGGGCTAATGGAGTTGGCATCAATTTCCCGGCTTAGGGGGGCTGTAACCGGAAACTCCCCTCCCTGGCTGCTATATTTAGCACTGCAGGACACCAGCGGAAGCACAGTTCACTTCTGAACCCAGCTAGCTTTGACTCAATCCTAGCTGTCTTTTCCCCAGCCTGGTCCATAGGAGGGGCCTGCAAGTCTGCAGCCCTGGGTCAGGCCCCCCTCTGCCTGTCATGCTATGCAAGCTGAGCTCACTCACAGCACAAGGACCCCCATCAGACAATGGCAGAGCTAGGAGTCTGAGGGGTTCTATGCCCAGGGGGCTTCAGCGTAAAGGTGAGGACTTTGTAGAACAGGCATTCATCCCAGCCCAGCAAGGAAGGGGGCTGGGTAGCCCTACACCCTGACCCTAGCAAGGCGAAACACGGAGCTGTGGAGCTTGTGGTGCCCACTGCTGTCCTGGAAAGCCCTGCAGGTCACATGGTCCCTGGCCTGAGGACACCAGAGAGACCTACAGAAGGGAAGGGTCCCATCTGATACCTGGCTCTTCCCCGTGAGTAGGTTGGCCACCTTCCAGGCCTTGGAGTTGCCCCTGGACAGATCTGATTTAGGCTGTGCCTCCCAGGAGGCCTGGGGCAGGGTACTAAAGGGGCAGGTGGCACCCTTCGCAGAATGGGAATTGACCCCTTATGCTGTTTTGGGCACAAGGACCAGGTTTCATTCCCAGAGGGTTGGGAGGGAGTTGGGAGGGGTCAGTGTACTGCTGGCCAGCTTGTGTGTGAGATAGGAGAAGCATTCTTCACAGAGGGTTGCGTATTTGTGTGTGGTGATGGCTCCAAGCAGGAGCCATCTGCGTGAGCTCACCAGCAGTAGGAATCTGGGGGTAGGCACAGGAGGGCTAGGAGCTGCCTGAACTCTGTCACCTACACACTGATATCCCCCTCCTCAGCGCTGCACACCAGGCCTCTCTCCACTGCCCTTCACCCCAGGCTTCCTTCACCCCAGGGCCTTGGCACATGCTGTTCTAACTCCTCACCTTGGCCACCCTTGGGGGCCCATCAGACTCCTACTGTCTGTTTTGCTTGCCTGCCTCTGCCTTAAGGCTTCTGGTCTGTATTGCTAAGTTCCCATCTGCCCTGGACAAAAAGGCTTTCGGGGCAGTACCCGTTTTGTTCACTGCTGAGTTGAGTGCCTGGCAGGATCACCCAGGGCCTCTCTCTCCTTGAGATCCTCCATCTTCAGGCCAGAGTGTGGAGGGGCTTTGTTCCTAGGGAGCCCCCATTTTATGACGCATAGGAGTTGTGAACTGCACAGTTATGGGGGTAGGCGGTCTCTGTGTGAGACACCCCTCAGCCCACCCAGGAAATTCAGCTAGTGGGAATTTAGGGCAGAGCCAGCAGTTTGGGTCTCAGGGAATCTGGCCCACCCCTTCAGGGCTTCCTGTGCCCCAAAGCCTGGTCCTGCCAGCAGGGTATGTGTGCAGGGCGTTCTCAGGGTCTCAGTGGCCAATGCAGGGAGCCAGACAGGTTCAAGATTCTGATTCTGACTGTACTGTGTACACTGAGTGCAGGGTGGGGCAGATGGGGAGCTCATCTACTAGGAAGGGGTGCCTCAGCCAGTAGGAGGACTTCTGACCCCCCCAAGGCAGTGCTGGCCCTGGATGAGGCCCTGCCCAGTGCAGGTCAGCAGGCTAGAGAAAGCAGCCCTTGGTGTTGACCCTGTCAAGGAGCAGCAAGGTCACCAGGGAGATGGCAAGGACATAGTAGCTGAGTGGGACTGGGCAGCCTGAGGATCCTCTTGGGGCAAACCGCTAGATGCGCACATCTGGCCTTCCTCTGTATTTCCTATGTCTTGATCGTGGTGTCTGGCCCGGGCGTTCCTCGAGGGCATGGCCTGGCAAACAGTCCAACCCAGAAGTATGTGTGGACCGGCTGCTCTTCACATCTCTGAAGGGAGGGCCCACGTCGAAGGCAGCAGCGCCCCCTTCAGCGAGCGTGAAGCTGCAGGAGACCGTGGAGCCGAAGGGTCCCGGGGGAAGGGGCGCGCAGCAGAGGCGGATCCCTGGCTTGCTCTGCAGGCGGCATCTCCGCTGGGACCAGGAGAGGCGCGGCGGTGGCGGTGGTGTTGGCGTACGGATGGGAGGTAAGGGCAGAGGCGACCTCAGGGGGCGCCCGCCCTTCCCGACCTCAGCAGTGACTCGGCAGCGGAGTAGCTGCCTGGCTCAGAGAAGGAGGGGGAGCGAAGGAGCAGCCCCGTGCCCAGCCGCCCCGCGCCCAGGCCGCACCCTTGCCGCCTTTAAAGCCCGGGCTCCCCCAGGCCCCCCCCCGCCCCATCCCGCGTGCGGCCCCGCCCCCTCATGCATATGCAGGTGCGCGGGTGACGAATGGGCGAGCGAGCTGTCAGTCTCGTCCCGAACTTGTTGGCTGCGGTGCGGGAGCGCGGGCGCGCAGAGCCGAGGCCAGGACCCGCCGCCGCCGCCACCGCGGGTAGGAGCCGGGTGGGAGCCGGGCCGGCGCGGGAGCCGGCCGCCGCGAGCCCGAGCCGCCGCCCTCGCACGCCGCCCGCCGCAGCCCACGCTCCCGGCGCCACGCGCGACCCCGCCCGCCGCCTGTGCCGCCGCCGCCGGGCTCGGAGGGCGGGCGGACGCGGGCGCTGGAGGCCGGCGCGGCGCCGCAGCGGGCGCGGGGGGCGGCGGCGGGCCGCGGGCGGGGTCGCGGCGGCGATGCGGGCGCGGGGCCGGGGTCGCCTGCCCCGGCGGCTGCTGCTGTTGCTGGCGCTGTGTGTGCAGGTGAGCAGGGCGCGTCCGCGGCACGGCGCGGGGGGGTGGGGCGGGGAGGTGGCGCGGACGGGGCGCACCGGCCGTCCCCGACACTCTGCGGCTCGGGCCCTCGGGCGAGGGGAGCCGGACCGGCGGGGCTACTCGACCCCGGCCCGCGCCTCCCTCGGCTCTTCCGTGCCTTATTTTTAGGCGGCGCGGCCCATGGGCTATTTCGAGCTGCGTCTGAGCGCGCTGCGGAACGCGAACGGGGAGCTGCTGAGCGGCGCCTGCTGTGACGGAGACGGCCGGACTGCGCGCGCGGGGGGCTGCGGCCGCGACGAGTGCGACACGTATGTGCGCGTGTGCCTCAAGGAATACCAGGCCAAGGTGACGCCCACGGGGCCCTGCAGCTACGGCCACGGCACCACGCCGGTGCTGGGCGGCAACTCCTTCTACCTGCCGCCGGCGGGCGCTGCGGGGGACCGAGCGCGCGCACGGGCGCGGGCCCGCGCTGACCACGACCCAGGCCTCGTCGTCATTCCCTTCCAGTTTGCCTGGCCGGTACGTGTCCCCCAATCCCACTGGGGTCCCCGTGGCCCCTCCAACACCTGCGCGGGTCGGCTGCAGGCCTCGAGCGCCCGACGGGGCGGGGCCGACAGGGGGCGCCGCACCAGTTGCGGTGCGTGTTTTGCGGGCTAGTCCGCGCCGGGCCACGTGGGCGCGTGAGGCGGCAGTCGTGGACGCGGGGTCTCGGCGTGTGCCCGCGTCGCTCTGCGCGTGTCTGTCTGGGCGGGGAGGCGCGAGGCGCCCGGGGCCAGCGGGCCGCGGAGGCATGTGCGCCGCGCGTGCTGGGGCTGGTTCGGGGCAGGCCCCGGCGGAGCAGCCCCGGGCCGGCGGCCAGCCTCACCCGCCGCGCAGTTTCCGGGATGCCCTGGGGCACGGGCAGATTCACAGGACTCGTAGGACCCGGCCATGTCGCGTGTTGGCGGAAGCTTCTGCCCCGCAGAGGAATAGCTAGTAGCCCACGGGGCACCACTGTGTTGGTTTGATTATATTTTGGAGGGTGGGAAGCTGAATTACCTGGCATCTGTCTCTTGGGAAAGGCTAGTCAGGCAGGAGTTGCAAATTTGGGCCTGCTTGGTTGAGTTTGTGTGTGTGTCTGTGTCCAGCAGTGGGGCCCGCAGGCCTCATGCCTGCAGCTGCCCGGTGCCTGGACAGGGAGCCTTCTGATACTTGACTTTGTCTGCTTTCTGGTCGTGGCACTGGAAGGTCTTTACGTGCAAGATCATCGTCTGTGGGCCTTGGCCTGGGTGGGACAGGAATGAGAGGGACCTTTGTGGAGATCCTCAGTGTGGAGGTGCAGGTCAGGGTGACCCAAAGGGTGGCTTGTGATTTGGAAGTGAATGGCACAGAGTACCAGTGACCCAAGACACAGAAGTGAGTCCACTTAGTACCTGGGTTCTGCATCAGGGCTGGGCCTGGCCAAGTTGGAATAGCAGGGCTTTGATCACCCTTGGCACCTGGCTGGAAGCTGTACCCTCTGAGTCCTTCCAGATGCTGACTTGTGATGCTGCCTTGACCCCTCCTGGCTCTCCAGCCTAGGAGGTGGGCCCAGTCCTCTGGCTGCCCCATACTGCTACTGATGGATGGGCTGTAGGGTGGGAAACATGCCCTGAGGTAGAGAAGGCAGGGGCAGGCTCGGGAGGGGCTCGGGCAGTTAAGATAAGCCCAGCCCCTCGCCCCCACAGTGCGCAGCAGGCAGGTCTGAGCAGGGCCCGCAGCCTGTCATCTGCACTTGGGCCCCAGCCAGTGCGGCTCCAAATCGCTACCTGAGGATGTGTTTTCTGCTCGAGTTGGCAGTCATGGGTGTGGGGGTAGGGAGGCCCTGGAGGAATGTGGCGGGCCAACGCGTGTCCCTGTGGCTCTCTGCCCCGCTGGCCAGCCGGCCGCTGTCGGGTAGGACGAGGCAGGCTCTGGTCTCCCCTGGAGTCTAGGCCCTGCACTGTGGCCAGCTTGCCTCTCTTCCTTGTGTTTGTGGTGGTTCCTTCAGGAACCCCAGTAGGGGCAAACGTCTCCCCAGCCAAGGACTGGGGCTGCAGGGCAGCAGTGCTGGGCAGCTCCCATCTCTACTCTTGTCTCCTGCTGTGTGGCCCTGATGCCAGCCTGGAGCTGGTGCTGTGATGGCAGCACCCTGGTATTTCCGCTCAGTCGATGGCAGCCCCGGGCCATCCTGCTCCAGCTTGCCACAAATCTGTTTCTGTCCCATGAGCTGGGGTGTGTTTGGAATCCAGGTGCCCACTGGGGCAGTGGCTCCTCCTGGGCAAAGCAAGAATGGACATGGAGGCAGGGACTTTAACAGGCAGGGTGGAATCCTCTAAGACCAGCCAAGACTCAGGCTCTGGAGGGATGGGGGCGGGGGTGGGGTGGGGTGGGTTGTGAAAGGCAGAAGTGCAGATGTGGATGTAGACTAAGAATTGACTGGGCTCTGCACATGCCTTGTGTGGACCATGGGCACCTTTACAATGACCTTGGGCTCAGCCTCCTTGAGTGGGTGGTCCCAGGTCTTGGATTGGAGTGCTTCAGTACCTAGCATGCCACCCACCAGTGGGGGCTGCCCTTCTTTTCTGGCCCTGGCCCACCTGTCTCCTGGGAGGTCTCTGTGGCCTTGAGTGTTGTCACTGATGTGTGACCTATGGCTGGCAGGCTGGAGGCCATGTTCATATGTGCCAGCACTCTGTGTATAGCCAGTAGCTGATGGACCACTTAGAGAGGAGTGAGTCTTTTCCTCGGTTCGAAGCACTGCTGGCTAAATGGGGAGCAGGGTGGTTGCAGTTGAGGTGTCTTAGCAGCCCAAGACTTTGCCCTCCAGTGGACTGCAATGGAGAATAGCTACCGTGGCCCTACTAAGGCCATCCTTACAGCCTGCTTGTTGGGCCTGGAGTCCACCTGGGATGAAGCTCTTAGTGGCAAACCCGTCTTGGAGTATGCTGTGCTGGTGCCAAAGAGAGGGGCAGTTGTACTGGGTGGTGGGAAACGGAAGGTGCAGGAAGAACAGAGGTGGGCAAGGCCCTATGGATGGCCAGGCGGGCCAGGTTGACACTCTCTGCTGGCTCTATCTGCAGCCAGCAGGGTCTGCTTTCGTTGCCTGAGCTGGGTGGGGCGGGGCTTTTCCCAGGGACCTTGTGAAGCCAGGTGGAGCCACAGGGCTGTCCAGCTGGGCTCAACCCAAGGTCCATGCAGTGTTTAGGGGAGTGCAGGTGGTGGTTCCCCTGGCTGCTCAGGGCTTTTGAGTGCTTAGGGAAGGTGGGGCTATGGATGCAGGGCCTGGCCCCTTTGTACCCATCTGCCATGAGGTTTCTGGCCTCATGAGACCCTGTCCTGGCTCTGTGTCCTGCCTGGGGCGGGGACTGGTACTTAAACCCCCCCAAATCTAGTCCCTTGTCCATCTTCCAGGGCCCTTCTGCATGGAGGGCCACTGCATCTGTCCTGCCCACACCTCATCTGGGACCTTTAGAGAGATGGGGTCTGCCCTGTGCCTGGCTGCTTGCCGTAGAGGTTGGTAGTCTTGTCAAGAGCTGTGGCATGGCAAAGGCCACGTGCAGCAGGGAGGGCTGCCCCCGCAGGGAAAGGTTTGGAAGTTGCTGAGGGCATGATCCTGGGCTCTCGGTTGGGGATGGCATGGAAAGGCGTGCATGAAGGGTGTGCAGCAGGGTTGGTTGGGAAGGAATCATAGATTCTATGATCACTTGGGTTGCATCCTGGTGTCTGGACAGAGTGGGGACCGTCAGGGCCAACGAGAGATTTCGAAGGGCCAGAGCCCAGTCAGAGCACCCATTCCTTGGACTCCAGGACCAGCTCCCCAGCCCCACTCCTGGACCTGACCTGGTCCCCGTCCCCATGCTGAGCTGGTCCCTGTCTCCATGTGTGGACTTCAGGCCAGGACCTGGCCTCTTGTGACCCCAGGGGGCTGTGGAAGGGGTTGGAGCCTGCTGCTTCCCTTCATGGAGGGGAACTATCGGGTGAGTGGGGCTCAGCCTGGTGGGCTGCCATCTACTCCTGGCATGGCCCTGGGGCCTGGGACACTCCCTCTCTTTTCCCTGGGGTAAGGTTGGTGGCAGAGCCCTGGGCCTCTCCAGAGCTCATGTTTCAGGAAATGTATCTGTGCTTATGGCTTCTGGCACCCGCACAAGTCCCGGGCCAGGCACTGGGCTCTGGCCTCTGGCCTCGGGCTCCATCAAAGACCAGATCGGGATGCTGAGGGACTGTGACAGGCAGACACTGGGCCTGGGGCTTTGGCCTAGTGTTGGGCTGAGGTGTCCATGTTATCCTTTCCCATGGCTTTGGTCTACTGCCTGTTAACCTTGTTCAGGGGACAGATGGAGGGTCAGGGCTCAGCTTTGAGGCAGAGAAGTAGGGGTGTGGTAGAGGTAGGTTGGGGAGTAGCAGGGTCATGGGACATGGAGCCTCTGCTGGATGGGTCTGCTGCCTGGGCAGGCAGGCAGCCCTGGTTCCCCCCAGCTAGCTGGAAGTCTAGGCAAGTGCCACCTTTCTGACCACCTCCAGACCTCCTTCCACTCAGCCCCCATTGCTTTTGCTGGCCCCAGTTCATTTCCTAGAATATAGTGGGACACTTTTCCTTCTGCCCAGGGAGCACGGTCCCTTTTGTCCAGTGGAGCTGGGGTGACAAAGTCTTGTCCCAGGCCATTGCTCAGTAGGTTGGAAGCACAGGGTCAGTGTGTCACTTGCAGAGGACGGCCCTGGTACTGGCGGGTGGCTAGGGAGGAGGGTACTGTGAGGGCCGCAGGTGCTGGCCCACCTGCCAGCTCAGGTTCTCCCTGGATGACTTCCTGCCGTCCAGGTGTAGGGAGCCCAGCTGGCAGGCGGTGGGGCCCTCTTGGGCGGCAGGCAGGCGCATGTCCCCACGGGAGCAGGTAACCAGAGCCCAGCTCAGTGGGGGTGATGGTAACCCTACCTGGATGGCTGGCATGGGTTTCCTGGGAGCTAAGAGGAGCTCCCGCACATCCTAAAGGCCAGGTGTGGCCGTTTAGGTGACTAAGAGGCAGTAGGCCTATGGCCATTGACATGACCTTCAGCTGTGGTCTTGGGCCATGCTGCCCCATCCTGTCCAGCCCGGCCTGTCCAGTGGCTCAAGTGACTGTTCGGCCCTTGGGTCTTGGGCCTGACTGTAGCACCATTTTGTTGAGTGTCAGCAGTGCTGTCTGTGCTTGGATCTGGTGCCAGCCTTACAAGAATCTGGTCTCGTGCCCTTGCTCTCCCGTGACTCTGTCCTCTGAGCCTGGGAGAGGGCAGCTGTGGGGAAGGGGCCTGTCAGTTACTTCTAGCCTTGCTCCCCTTGAGGCCCCACATCAGAGCTGCTCAGGAGGGGGTGTGGTGTGTTTTAGTTGCATCTGGGTTGCCATCCCTGAGGCCAAGCTGGGTGTCTAGAGGCTGGGTATGGTTAGGTGTGGCAAGCAGCAGGCTGGGAGGGCCAGGATCCATCCTGGGTTGGGGAGAGAGGGGAGGGCATGGCAGGCACAGGCATGATGGACAGGTCAGGACCTTTGGGCTCAGTGGGGACACACAGTTTCCCCAGCACAGTGGGCTGCAGGCCCTGGACACTTCCCACATGGTGTCCTCTTGTGTGGGAGACTCAGGCCATATACAGAGCACTGAGCGGTATGTGTGGGGCTGCAGAGCATCCTGGGTAGCTCTGCATGTGCCCAGGGATGGGCAGTGGGCACTGCTGTAGGCCAGTCAGCTTACCCTCCCACATCCCTGCATCTTGTGACAGGAGGAGGCCCAACAGTATGATTCAGTGGTGACCACGGACTGAAGCTGTGTTGGGCAGACTTATAGGCATCAGTTTCCTGCCTGTGTAACAGAGGTCTCCTGGCCTAGCCTGCCCTGCCATGGGGAAGGTATTGGGCTGCTGTGCCTTGTTGTGGGGACCCCATGGCCTTGTCCTGGGAGGGCTCCTCAACAGATGCCACTGTGTGCCTAGGGGAGGCTACCAGGATGGCTGTGGTGCTGCCTCTTTTGGGGGTGTGGAGAGGCCATGGGTGTTCCTGCAGTGTCAGACCCCAGTAGGGCTGAGGGCGTCCTGGCCTTCTGTGCCACTCCAGTGGGTACCTGCTGCCCTGCCCATGTGGCTGCCTGCCCTCTATGTTGACATGACCCCAGGCCTGGGGTTTCTCCCTCCATCCTGGGGTCTGCCCAGAGGAGCTGGAGCAGGGTCCCAGGAGCTAACTCCCCTCTACACTGTGTCCACAGCGTTCCTTCACCCTCATCGTGGAGGCCTGGGACTGGGACAATGAGACCACCCTGGATGGTGAGTAAGCCCTGCCTGGCATGGGTGGGAGGAAGTGGGCTTTCCAGCCACCAGGATGCACATGGCCAGGTCCCAGGTCCTTCCCTTTCAGGAAACAAAGACTCCTGTGGCCAAAAGCTTCATCTGCTCAGAGGCTATGCATTGCTTCTGTCTTTTTGATGGAGGGCATGGTACAAAAAATCAAACTTACGACCTTACATTTGCTAGGCAGCCACTTACGCTGCTGAGCTATATCCCTGGCCACATCACTTCTCTTTATCCTGTCTGCAAGGAGACTTTTCTGGGTTTGTGGTCTTGCAGCCAGCCCTGCTGGGTGTGTTCTTTGGACCATGCTGGCAGCGTGGAGCCCTTGTGTGGCTTTGGTGCATGGCTCCCCTCTGCCTGTCTGTCCTGGAAGGAGGGTTTGATGGCCTGCTTCCAAAGGTCAGGCAGGGGCCCAAGGAAGATGATGCTTGATGTCTGAAGAGTTGTGGGTAGGAGGATGGGGTGCTCAACGAGATTGGGCCCAGATCTCAGAGCCTCGTGGGTCCTGGGAGGACTCGGTCTCCCAGCTGAGGTATGGAAGCAGCCCGTGGGGCTAGGGCAGAGGCGGGCTTAGGGATGTGGTCAGGGCCAGTGTGGTCCAGTGACTATAGATGAGAGAGACATTGGTAGGAGGGACAATGTGGGCAGTTAGGCACCAAGTGTAACCAAGCCTCAGGCCCAACAAGTGGCAATGCTGGGGATACCACAGGTGAGCCCATGGCTCAGCAGGGGTATTGATCGAAGTCAGTACAAGACGCAGGGATCCTTGACAAAGATTTGAGCCCTTGCTGAGAAGGGCAGCTGAGGGCCTGTCGTCCCGAGATCTCCAGCCCCAGACTTGGCTGGAGGCCGGTGGGAGCAGGGGCCTGCGGTACTCTTGCTCTCATCCTGTGGCTCCCACTGCCCAGGTGTGCCTGGTCCCAGAGGGCCTGCTGGGGATGGCTGCTGTGCATGTCTGGGCAGTGATGTCCCCTGTGCTGGAGTGGACTCAGTGCCCAGTGGGTCCATGGTGTTGGAGCCATGTCTTGTGTGGCCAGTAGAGGCTCGAGGAGCACTTGGGACTTGCAGGCAAAACTGGGCCAGGGTAAGGTGGTTGCTGCTGGGCCTGGAGCTTCTGTGGTGACCTGACCAGTGTTTCTGCTGCCTGCCCTACCCCACCCCACATCCCTGAGGCCACCTGGCTGGGTAGGTTGCCTGGGCCACCTTGGGGACATCAAGTGAGTGTCCAACTCTGCCCCCAGAGGACCTGCTGATTGAACGGGTGTCACACGCGGGCATGATCAACCCTGAGGATCGCTGGAAGAGCCTGCATTTCAGTGGCCACGTGGCCTACCTGGAACTGCAGATCCGTGTGCGCTGCGATGAAAACTACTACAGCGCCACATGCAACAAGTTCTGCCGGCCCCGTGACGACTTTTTCGGGCACTACACCTGTGACCAGTATGGCAACAAGGCTTGCCTGGATGGTTGGATGGGCAAGGAGTGCAAGGATGGTGAGGGCCACGCGGGCGGGGCGGCGGTGGGGGCCATGTAGCAGTGGCCAGTGCAGCCACCACAGCAGTGCCTCTCCTGCTCTCTCTCCACAGCTGTGTGCAGACAAGGTTGCAACTTGCTCCATGGGGGATGTGCCGTGCCCGGAGAGTGCAGGTGAGTGCTCGCCAGCCCTTCCCCTGCTTGCGTTCCCACTCAGCCAGCAGTTGCTGGTGCCCCTGTGGGCTCCTCATCAGGTGCCTGGGGAGAAGCGCAGAGAATGGGAGGCGGCTGCCACAGCCATCATGGGGGAAGCCATGCACTGGCAGCCTCACAGAGACAGCAGGGAGAGGTGGGCATGGGACTGCACAGATGTGCTTCATGGGTACGGCGCATCTTGGCCCTGTTTCAGTCACTGTACCCTCCTCGCCGTGTGTGGTACTCTGCTTTGACTGTGCAGTGTCCTTGAGTGATTGGTGGCCTGCCTGGTGTCCTTACCCAGGATGGGGGTGGAAGAGAAGCCCCTCAAGTAGGAAGATGAGGGCCAGGCTGGGCGGCAGTATGGGGACAGGCCTTGGGATGGAAGTAAGCCTCAGCGCCCTCCCGGCCTTGTGGACAAGGTCCAGGTGCCTCTGGTTCAGGTTTCAGCCCCTCCCCTCACAACCAGATGCTATGGAGATGGCCAGCCCTTCCTGCTGGGGGGCCTGGGCTTCTGTTGGGGGCTTCTCTGTGGGAGTGTGCTGTCAGTACCAAGAGGCCTGTGCGCTGCACCTGCTGTATGCTCCCTGGCAGGTGACCCAAGGTCCATCACAGCCTGCTTGAGCCAGCTGGAGGCCAAGACATGAGGCCTACTGTGCACCTGCCCTGCAAATGGGGGTGGATTCCACAGCTGTCTGCTCCTGGCCTCAGTTTCCCCATCCCAAACATCGTGAGCTGGATTGATTCTCTCGGGGCTCTGTACTCAGGCAGCTCAGGAAGGGCTGTGGTCTTTCCTCCTATAAAAATAACTCCCGCGGCGGGTGCTGTTGTGGAAGTGACACGCCTGGGCGTCATTCTCATCCCACAGGACATGAGCTTCTAGGAAGAGGCCCAGAGGGTAGCCTACTGGGCCCAGGGTGACCCTTGCCCGCAAGCTGCACTGCCTGCCCACCTGCTTCTTGGAGGACTTCCTAAGAGGACATGGGGCAGAGCCAGGCCTTGGATCCTGGCCTCCAAGTCCACACGTCTTAGGCTGTTTTCCAGAATGGCCAGATCCCTCTGGTAGGGCAGCAGCTGCCACGGAGCTGGGGGGCACCCTGTAGCCCTCGTGGCCCTCCGTGAGATGCAACCCTCACAGAGCTCTGCTGGGAAACAGAGCAGCTGTTGTCCTGGAACAGTGGTTAGGTCACGTGTGGTACCCAAGGTCAGGCGGCCAGGCGGGTAGCAATCCTCTCCTGATGTCTGGGGCCGTGCTCTGGCCTGGCAGCACCTGGCTGGCCAACACTGGCATGTCTCTGGACCCTACAGGGCCTTCCTTTCCCGGCGCCGGCTCTTGGGAACTGGCTCGGGGTGAGGCCCAGAATAACTCAGGGAGGAGTGACGGGACAGCTGGGGCAGACCCATTGCGTCCGCACCCATGAGTGCCTGTGACAGTGGGGCTGGCAGCGGGCTATGGCTCCTGCCTGCCCCCAAGCTGCAGACGTTCAAAGGCCCAAGGCTGCTGACCCCAGAGTGGCTTGTGGGCCCATGCCTGCTTCCCTGGCCCTAGTAGCTCTCAGCTTGCCCGTGGCTTCCCCAGGTGCAGCTATGGCTGGCAGGGGAGGTTCTGTGACGAGTGTGTCCCGTACCCTGGCTGCGTGCATGGCAGCTGTGTGGAGCCCTGGCATTGCGACTGTGAGACCAACTGGGGTGGCCTGCTGTGTGACAAAGGTAGAAGGATTGGTGGGCAGAGGGTGGGCAGCCAGGCGGACTGGGTCTGCAGCACAGGAGGTGGGTGTGGGGGCCTGCCTCCTGAGAACCCACTCCGCCTGCAGACTTGAATTACTGTGGCAGCCACCGCCCCTGCGTCAATGGGGGCACGTGCATCAACGTTGAGCCTGATCAGTACCGCTGCGCCTGCCCTGACGGCTACTCGGGCAAGAACTGTGAGCGGGGTGAGTGCCCTCCTGGGTCACGAGGGCTGGGGGGAGGAGCTGTTGTGGCAGACGGGAGCCTGTGCCACTTCCCCACCTCTCTATGCATCTATAGCTGAACATGCCTGTGCTTCCAACCCGTGTGCCAATGGGGGCTCCTGCCATGAGGTGCCGTCTGGCTTTGAATGCCACTGTCCGTCGGGCTGGAGTGGACCTACCTGTGCACTTGGTGAGTGCCCATATGCATCTGGTGCAGTCTGGCAACCCAGGGACCTGGGAGAGGGTAGAGCTCCAGAGTCTATGGCGTAATGGTGGCTCCCACTCGTGTCCGTGGACATTGTGGCCAGGGATTGAGTGACAGGAAGACTGGGGACACAGGGCACTTAGTCTTCCCTGGGACTACATGCCATGCCCTGGGTTCTGTCGTCTTCTTGCAGACATTGATGAGTGCGCCTCGAACCCATGTGCAGCGGGTGGCACCTGTGTGGACCAGGTGGATGGATTTGAGTGCATCTGCCCCAAGCAGTGGGTGGGGGCTACGTGTCAGCTGGGTAAGGACTCCAGTGTGTGGGTGCATGGGCTGGGGGCTGTGTATGTGGCTGTGGCTGCTGCTGCTGTGCTGCGGGTGCTGGGTGCACGGGGCGGGCCCAAGCCCATGGCTGCCTTGTCTTGTCCACAGACGCCAATGAGTGTGATGGGAAGCCGTGCCTTAATGCTTTTTCTTGCAAAAACCTGATTGGCGGCTATTACTGTGATTGTCTCCCGGGCTGGAAGGGCGCCAACTGCCACATCAGTCAGTACGGGTGGGTGGCATAGGCGGGGGGCCGGGATAGCTTGGAGGACCCTGGCCTGACCTATCCTGTGCCCTCTCCACAGATGTCAATGACTGTCGTGGGCAGTGTCAACATGGTGGCACCTGCAAGGTAAGGCCAACTGCCACTTGCCTGCCTGAGCCCTGGAGGAGCATGGGGTGGGAGGCTCACAGCCCTATGCCCCACAGGACCTGGTCAACGGGTACCAGTGTGTATGCCCGCGGGGCTTTGGAGGCCGGCACTGCGAGCTAGTACGTGGGGAGTGTGCCAGTAGCCCCTGCCGTGGGGGTGGCATCTGTGAGGACCTGGCTGATGGCTTCCACTGCCACTGCCCCAAGGGCCTTTCGGGGCTACTCTGCGAGGTGAGGCCCGCTGCTGCCACCACACCGGAGGGGCTGCAGTGGGAAGTGTCCCTGGGGTCCACAGGGTCACCAGAACTGTGATGAAACCCTCCCTGGCTCAGGTGGACAGATCAGGCCCCGTGCAGCGGGGTGACGGGTGGCCTGAGGAGGCAGCAGGGAGCCTTGGGCAGGAGTGCCATCCCTGGGACTGTGCTTGTACCTTGTGGCACACTTGCTTCCTTGCCCCCAGCCACCCATGATTCTGGGCTGGCTTTTGTGCAGAGGGTGGCTCCTGCCCAGCCAGCTTCCTGGGGTCCACAGCAGAGGCCTGGCCTTGGGTTTGGGATTATGGCTAGCTCTGGTCAGGACCCTGTCTGGGTGCTGAAGTGGCCTGCCAGTGCAGGGTCAGGAGCTGGCCTTCCTGCCCGTGGGAGGAGCCCAGGCCGGATGCGCATGTGGGAGGCAGAGGAAGTGGCCTCCGTGGCGGCAAGGGAGGGCCACAGGTGCTTCCGCCCAGCCGATGGGGCTTGGACAGGCTTGGGTAGGCGGGGGCTGTATGTGCAGAGTCAAGGGCCCCGTAGTCTAGGCTGAGTGGTGGTCCAACCTCAGGGATGCCCCGGACCCTGCCTTTGTACGGACAGAGGCTGCTGTTCTCAGTGTGGGGCTGGGCACTCATGGACACGCCCTGCCCTGGCCTCAGGTGGCCGTGGATTTCTGCGAGCCGAGCCCCTGTCTAAATGGTGCAAGCTGCTATAACCTGGAGGGTGACTACTACTGTGCCTGCCCCGAGGACTTCAGTGGCAAAAACTGCTCTGTGCCCAGAGTGCCGTGCCCTGGCGGAGCCTGCAGAGGTGGGATGTGAACCGTGGGCAGGGGCAGGCCAGGGTGGGAGTGGACGATGGGATAGGCCTGATCCCTCTGTCCCTCTGCCACAGTGATTGACAGCTGCGGGTTTGAGGTGGGGCCCAGGGGCCCTGGCATGGTGCCCTCCGGTGTGTGCGGCCCCCACGGGCACTGTGTCAGCCAGCCTGGGGGCAACTTTTCCTGTGTCTGCGACAGTGGCTTCACAGGCACCTACTGCCATGAGAGTGAGTTGTGTGCCAGGCCAGGGGTGGGGTCGACATTGCTCACTCTTCTCTCATGTGAGCTCATGTGTCTCCCTTGCAGACATTGATGACTGCCTGGGCCAGCCCTGCCACAATGGGGGCACCTGCATTGATGAGGTGGGCACCTTCCGCTGCTTCTGCCCCAGCGGCTGGGAGGGTGAGCTCTGCGACACTGGTGAGTGTGGGCGCCACTGCCCCACACCCCTCATACTCTGAGCTGAGCCTGCCTGGACCACATAGCCGCTATGAGGGTGGGGACCTGGCTTTGTCCTTGGTGCCTGGGCTGGGCTCTTGCGCTCCTCTCTGGGAAGCCCTCCCCAAGCGCCGGTGACCCCTGCTGACCGGCGTCCTCGCCCCCAGATTCCAACGACTGCCTCCCCGACCCCTGCCACAGCCGCGGTCACTGCCATGACCTGGTGAACGACTTCTACTGTGCATGCAATGACGGCTGGAAGGGCAAGACCTGCCACTCACGTGAGTCCTTGGGTCCTTGTATGTGGAGCTGCCACCAGGACCAGAGGGATCCAGGCCTCTTGCTGAGTGCTGTGTGCCTACAGGTGAGTTCCAGTGTGATGCCTACACCTGCAGTAACGGAGGGACCTGCTATGACAGTGGAGACACGTTCCGATGTGCTTGCCTGCCTGGCTGGAAGGGTAGCACCTGCACCATCGGTGAGGCAGCCTGTGCCGTTCTTGCCCCACCCACTCTGGCTCCTGAGCCATGCTGATCAAGTGAGCCACCAGCCACTTCTCCTTCCTGCAGCTGAGAACAGCAGCTGCCTGCCCAACCCCTGCATGAATGGTGGTACCTGCGTGGGCAGTGGTGACTCCTTCTCCTGCATCTGCCGGGATGGCTGGGAGGGCCGCACCTGCACGCACAGTAAGGCGGGCCCCTGTGGATAAAGTGCCCTTCTCCACCTAGTTCCTAGCCCCACCCCAGGGATCATTCTCTTTGGCCCACCAGCTAACTGATACCCCAAGATATGTGGGTGCCCCCTTTCCCTGGGCTCCTGTTGAGTTGCAGCCACCTTTCCAGTGAAGTCCCCTTGTCCTGGACAGTGCAGTCTCCATCCTTTCACAAGCCCAGGGCACCCAGGCCTGCCACTGAGGGTGCTGTGCAGGTAGGTGACATGCCAGTCACTTCTGTTTTTCCTCCAATCCAGACACAAATGACTGCAACCCTCTGCCCTGGTGAGTGGCACCCTGGAAAGGCTGGTTGGGTAGGGGGGTATGTTGTGGCAGGACCCCTGATTCCACCCTCTCCTGCAGCTACAATGGTGGCATCTGTGTGGATGGCGTGAACTGGTTCCGCTGCGAATGCGCCCCTGGCTTTGCAGGGCCCGACTGCCGCATCAGTGAGCAGCCCTGGCCATGGGGACAGTGGGGGTGCTTTGGGGCTAGCTTTGGAGCCCCTAGCTTTGGGGCAGCACACTGGTATCCTGCCTGCCTATGCCACGTATCTATGTCCTTCAGGGCTCCTAGGAACAAGGTGGGGTCCTATCCCAGGGAGCATGTCAGAGGTCCTGGGAGGAGGAGGAGGAGGAGGAGGGCACGGCAGTAGCAAGTACAGCTCCATGTCACTCTTCCATGCTGTAGGGTTGTGGTCTGTGGGTCGCAGCTCTGGGATTGGGACACACTGGGAAGGAGTGGACTCCATAGGCCTCCATGCACCCCTTTTACTGAGGCAGATAGGGAGGGTGAGACCTGGGGATTTGAGAGGCTTTAGGCTGGTGAGTGACATGCAGTGCCTGGCCCAGCCCAGGCTGATGTGGAGCAGGTCCCGCAGGGCTTACAGGCTGGTGGCTGAGTTGGTGCAGCCACCACTGGCCCAAGGTGTGCATGCTCTACCCTCCCCGAGCTGGCCTGGCCAGGCCCATGCAGGGTGCTGAGCATAGGCTCTCTCCACAGACATTGATGAGTGCCAGTCTTCACCATGCGCCTATGGGGCCACATGTGTGGACGAGATCGATGGTTACCGTTGCAGCTGCCCACCCGGCCGAACTGGCCCCCGCTGCCAGGACGGTAGGCAGCAGGGATGGCGCTGGGCAAGGTGGGGCCCAGGAACCATTCCAACCCCGCCCTCTTGCCCCTGCAGTGATCTGGTTTGGGAGATCCTGCTGGTCCCGGGGGATGTCATTCCCGCATGGCAGCTCCTGGGTAGAGGACTGCAACAGCTGCCGTTGTCTGGACGGCCACCGGGACTGCAGCAAGGTAGGACCTGTGTGAGAGCCACATCTGGCTGCTCAACTAATGCTGACACTTCTGAGATGTCAGGAGACCCATGCCTGGGTAGAGTGAGCCAGGGGCCTGAGGTCCCCCCTGGGACATCTTGGGAGGGAGAGAATGGGCTGGGAGGGGCTTCAGGCACAGTCATGCTGCTCAATCTCTTGTGTTGGGCCCCATTGGCTTCCCTGTTCTACAGAATGCCCTTTCTCGTGTGTAGCTCAGCCTGCTTATGGGGGAAGGGCCAGGCCTTGGTGGCTGACCCAGCCACATGTGTCCCCTTTGATGTCCTTGCCCTGTGCTACATCTCCCCAGGTGTGGTGTGGCTGGAAGCCCTGTCTGCTGTCTGGCCAGTCTGCCGGCCTCAGCACCCAGTGCCCACCAGGGCAGCAGTGCCAGGAGAAGGCTCCAGGCCAGTGTTTGCAGCCGCCCTGCGAGGCCTGGGGCGAGTGTGGTGCTGAGGAACCCCTGATGCCCAGCACCCCCTGCCAGCCTCACTCCAGCCACCTGGACAACAACTGTGCACGCCTTACTCTGCGCTTTGACCGTGACCAAGTGCCCCAGGTGCAGTGAGGGCCTGGTGCCTGCATCTGGGCCTTTGGCTGCTCCTAGGGCCCGATGAGCAGAGCCCAGAGCCTGGGTGCTGGTTGGGGGGCCAAGTGTGGTGCCCATACTGCTGTTCCTGGGTTTAGACATGGGTGACCTTGGCAGGCCCTGGAATGATGGCCAAGATCCTGCCCTTGTTACCCAGGCCCAGATTCCCTGGGCCCTCTCCTCTCCTCCCCTTTCTCTGAGCTGCTTCACTGAGAACAGGATGGGAACAGGGATCACCCCGTTTCTTAGCTCTGCTCCCTGGGGGCTGTGGGATGTGACTGCCAGGCATCTGTGGGTGGTGCTTTGCCTCCCTGTGCTTATGTGCTGCCTGTCTTCCCAGGGTACCACTGTGGGTGCCATCTGCTCTGGGATCCGCTCCCTGCCTGCCACAAGGGCTGTGGCCCGAGAGCATCTGCTGCTGCTGCTCTGTGACCGGGCACCCTCAGGGGCCAGCACCGTGGAGGTGGCTGTGGTGAGTGTGGACGCCTGGTGCCTGTAGTGTGCTGGAGAGCTGAGATGGACCCATCAGAGGGCCAAAGGGACTGAGGCCAGCTGGACACAGCGTCCCCAGTGCCTGAGAAGCTCAGCAGGGCCAGGGGTGGCTGAGGCCATCCAGGCAGGGTGGACAGGAGTTGGACAAGGTGTGGAGGTAGAGTGCCAGGGCGTCCAAGACTGGAGCGGCCAGCTGTCATCAGTTACAGGGTCAGCATGTGATGAGATGGCTCCAGGGACGTGTCCAGAGCAGAGCCCCACAGCAGGCTTAGCTGTGTGGTGTGGAGAGAAAGGTCCTAGCGGGGTCGGCCCAGGCTGCAGAGATGGTACTGGGCTGGATGCTGGGTTTCAGGGCTGTGGGCAAGGCCAGCTAGGCCCTCTCTTCAGCCATGGAGGTGGCTTTGAGGTACTGCCCTCAGCTGGCAGCAGGCTGGGCTTACCCTAGTTAGAGGCACCCCAGGGAGGGGGTTTTATATAGAGCGTGCTTAGTAGTGGAGGGAGAGGCAGACTCGGTGCAGAATCACACAGTATGACCGCTCTTACTGCCCATGGGGCATGGGCAGGGGAGAGCATGGGCAGGGTTGATGTGTACAGCTGAGAGATCTGGGGGCCAGCGGGGGAGGGTGAACTGGGGAGTAGACTGCAAGGGGCTGGTGGCCAGGGGTTGGGGGAAAGGAAAGGGTACATCCAGGCTACCTCACCCAGATCTGCCTACTGGGTGTGTCCCAGCTGCCAGACTCCCCGCTGAGTCTCAGAGCCTCTGCTAGCCCCATGCTGTGCCCCACGTAGGCCTCATCCTTGCATCCAAACAGCTGGGAGCTGGATGTGGCCTCAGGCTGGGCTGGGCCAGGTTGTGGAAAGGGTGCCTTTGGGTGGTCCCACAGCCCTGTCCTCTGTTGCAGTCCTTCAGCCCTTCGAGGGACCTGCCTGACAGCAGCCTGATCCAGAGTGCAGCCCACGCTATTGTGACTGCCATCACGCAGCGAGGGAACAGCTCGCTGCTGCTGGCCATCACCGAGGTCAAGGTGGAGACCGTGGTCATGGGCAGCTCTTCCACAGGTAAGTGGAGATGGCAGGGGCTCCCCAGAGTGTCAGGCCTTGGGAACCTGACAGGCAGCACCCCTCCACAAGTGGGGCCCCCTCCCTCCAGCCAGGGACCAGTGGGATGCTGAGGCTGGCATGGCCTCCTACTTATGCTGCCCTCTGTCAGGCTTGCTGGTGCCAGTGCTGTGTGGTCTGTTCAGCGTGCTGTGGTTGGCCTGCGTGGTCATCTGTGTGTGGTGGACCCGGAAGCGCAGGAAAGAGCGGGAGAGGAGCCGCCTGCCACGAGATGAGAGCACCAACAACCAGTGGGCCCCGCTCAACCCCATCCGCAACCCCATTGAGCGGCTGGGCAGCAGTGGGCCGAGTGGCGGGGCCCACAAGGATGTGCTGTACCAGTGCAAGAACTTCACACTGCCACCACGCAGGGCTGGCGAGGTGCTGCCCGGGCCAGCGAGCCCTGGGGATGGCAGAGAGGACGAGGAGGATGAGTCCAGCCGAGCGGAGGAGGACTCCCCAGAGGCGGAGAAGTTCCTCTCACACAAATTCACCAAAGACCCCAGCTGCTCGCCGGGGAGGCCAGCCCACTGGGCCTTGGGCCCCAAAGTGGACAACCGTGCAGTCAGGAGTGTCAAGGACGTGCACTACGCTGGCAAGGAGTAGGGCCACAGCCGCCCTGCTGCCACCGCCTCGCCACACCACACTGCCTGCTACGCCGTGGGGGGCTGAGACTGTGTGCATAGTTTCTTTATTTTGTGTAAAAAAAATCAAAAGCAAAAAACAAATGTTTATTTTCTATGTTTCTTTAGCCTCGTATAAATTATTCAATAACTGTTAGGCAGCGAACAACGGCGTATTCTGGAATAGTTGCTATTTTTGTAAAGTTTGCGTGTCACACATGTTGTGTGGCGGGCAAGAACGGAGTGTTTTGTGTTCTCACCAAATTGTGTGGCCTTTGTTTCCAGAGGTCGTGCACTGTTTACAGAATCTTCTTTTTTTATTCCTCACTTTGGTTTCTCTGTGGCTCCAGGCCAAAGAGCCCATGAGACCTGTGGCTATTGGTGTGGCCCGGGGCCCTGAGTGGGACCTGTGGCTGGCAGGGGACCCATGGCCAGCAGAGAGGCCTGGGTCTGTCAGTGGGACCCATGGCTGTCAGTGGGACCTGCAATTGTCAGCCTACTTTGGCTGTCTGGACCTGTGGCCGATGGTGTGGCTGCCTCTGTAGTTGACAGTGTGGCCCACGGCTGTTGTGGGACCTGTGGCTGTCGGAGTGGCCTGTGGCTGTCGCTGGGGCCCGTGGCTGGAGGTGGGACCTCCGTGGTCAGTGTGGCCTGAGGTTGTGTCAGCCCAGCCTGCCGTCCGTGCTTCTCCTGCCCAGACCTCTCCAAAGACCTCTCAGCTCTGCTTCCAGAAGTGCCCTTCCCCACCACGCGTCCCCCCCTGGGACGTGGCAGAACCGAAGCTTGTGACAAGTGCCTTCACACAGACCCCTTGCAGCTGTCAGCATTCGCCGTGGGCACCAGGCTCTGCCCCTGCCAACCCTGGCTGCCCCTAGTGAAAGTGCATTTCTGTACATATGTACATATTAAATGAATCACTCTGTATATTTGATTTAATAACTTAAATGTTTTGGTCTCCCTGTTCTTTGAGTGCTGTTGCTTTTTTATTTGGAGTCAGGGTGCAGGCAGGAAGGTGCAGGAAGGGGGTCTGGTCTGGGGGGGACCAGGTGACCTTGGTGGCTGTGGGAGTGATGTTGACCTAGTGGCTGGCCCTGCAAGCGCCCTGAGCCTGCAGTGTGTTGGTATCTTTTGCTGGTGGACATGGCTGGGTGCCTGGCATCGCACCTCCCAAAAACCAGCGCAGAACTTTACGAAGCCACTCAAAGTCACTTTGTATGGAGAGCTGTCAAGGTCTTCCTGGTGAGTTTGGGCCGGATCTGAGAGAAAGGAGCCGGAAAGTGCAGCTGCAGCCCACTAATGCGGACAGACGGCCGAGCCCTGGGTGGGCCTGCCCACACTCGCTATGTGGGAGGTGACGGAGAAGCTGAGAGCCGCATGTGGAGAAGACAGCGCACTGCTCATCCTGACTTGGAGCCACCTCCCTGTGGCCACAGGACACATATCGGTGGTCTGTAAGTGGCCAGCCCATGTCCTGAAGGCCCTTTGTGGCCCAAGGTTGGACCCCAAGGCCGAACCCTCTCCTTCCTGTCCGCAGGGGTGAGCCAGGCAGTGCAGTGGTGACCCGGTGACAGGCGGCTGACGGCTCCATCACCAGCATAGCCTGACTTGGGATCCTCCATCCAGGACCACTGCGTACCCATGGATAAGTGACTTCAGGGTCAGCAAGGAATCCGTGGCTAAAAGCTCAAGCCTGTTCCTGATGTCACTGTTGCGGCCTCAGAAGTACAGTGGCTCCAAGGTGGCATTGGGACCCCACACCTGGACTGTGGAAGGAGAGCACTCATGGGGCTCATAGAACTCTGCCACATAGGCCTCTTCAGGCCAAAGAGACTTGAGTGTGGAGCAGATGTGGCAGGGAACCCGGCAGGCCATCCAGCAGTGACAGCTGAACCCATGGAAGACCTCAGGGAGGCGGTGGCCCCTGATAATACCAAAAAGAAAGCACTGCAAGGCTATCCAAATTTGGAAACCATGGTGCACCCAAGGGGTTCACAGGACTCCACATGACCCTGAGCCTGCCCAGGTGAGCCTGCCCAAGTGAGCCTGCCCAGGTGGGCCTGCAGGAGCGCTGGCACCCTGAGAACTGGGTGCAGTGACTACACAGCAGAGCTGGGCCCTCCTGGGTTCCTCCCTCTTCCCAGGCCCCACCCAGCAGTCTCCCTACCCCTGCCTGGGCCTGCTCAAGAAAGGGGCGGTGTGCAGCAGGGTTAGGGTCAGGGTAAGAGCTGTTCAGATGCCTCTGATCAGTCGTGCTGAGGGCCACATTGCAGGATCTGCTGGGGTCTACTAGGCGTAGTGGGCTAGGCTCTGCTGCCAGTGCTGTCCACTCGGGGTGGCCGTAGAGGCCAACTTCAAGGACCATGACTCAGCCTCTGCCCCTAGTTCACAGCATGCTGCTCGTCCCACTGCAACCTCAGGGCTGGGGCCTCACTACCTGTTCCTCCTGGGCAGACAGCAGTTGGCCCTCATGAGGGCAGCTGGGTTAGCAGATCCAGCCAATGAAGAGTGGCTGTGGCACTTGGCTGATGGCCTCCCCGAGGTGGTGTGGGGTCCTGGGGGTCCTGACTGATTAAGTGAAAGGAGGCTGCAGAGTGGTAGGGAGCCCCTAGCAGGGACCTCACTGCTCCTTGTCCTGAATGCTTGAGGCTTCCCCTGTTGCCCTGGAGTGGTCTGGAAAGTGGCCACAGACACAGCCACCCATGTGGCCTCCACACTCAGAGCTTACCCTCAACGCTGCCTCCTCGAAGGCATCTGTGTCGTCTCTGATCCTCCCACTCGGTGGCTCTGGGTTATTGGTCAGAAGGGGCGAGGTCCATACGCTGGCAGGGCTTGCGCCACAGCTACGGGCAGAGACCTGGACCTCCCAGGTGCAGCAGGCAGGAGCTTTGCACACTCAAAGCAGAGGTGGAAGCCCAGGCCCCTGGACTCCTGAAGCCAGGAGTCACATCTGGTGAGTAGAGTCTGACCTGCTTCTAGACCTGCATGACCGGTAGGGTCTGTCCCGTTGTTTGTGGCTAAGACCCCAGTGCTTCAGTGAGAGATGGCGATGGAGCTGGGAGCAGCCGGCAACATGACATCGTGGGGTGCAGGGCCAAGGAGGATGAGCAGCAGGTGTCAGGCATGTGCCTAGGATGGAGAGGGCCGTGTGTCTCTGAGGGTAGGTGATCAGCTGGCACGTGGGCAGCAGGGCTCACTCCAGGCCACGGTGCCTTGGCCTGCGCTCTGGCTTTGGCTGAGGGATGCTTCCCTTCCGGTGTCCTGAGCTACCTGGGGCCAGGCCCACACCCGTCGCCACTAGGACGCTTGCCTGGCTCCCTGCCTGGCTGCTGCCTTGGCACTCGGCTCTGGGGACTGTGCCAGTTGGTCTGCTTGGCGACAGCCCTGACTGCCATGTCTCCGAAGAAACCAGCCCCAGGGGCAGGGAGGCAATTTGGCATGAATCCCAGTCTCAGGTGGCCAGGGTGTTAACCTAGGACACAGGCAATGGGGCGATAGCCCCACAGTGGTCCCAGCTATCCTGGGTTCCAGCTAAGCTGGACTGTTTCTCAACAGACTGCAAGCCAGGTCCTCCAAGGAGCCCGGTGTGCTGGGAGGGCCTGGGTCGGGCGACCTGCAGCCTGGGCAACACCATTGTGTGGAAGGGGAAATAGGGCCTGGAGGTCTGCCTTGCAACATTCTTTGTGGGACCCGTAAACTCGCTGCAGAGGTAACCAGGATGTGGGTCTCAGGTAAACACTCTGGAGTGGGTCTAAGGAGGGCTCCAGCAGGAGGTGTCTAGCACAAGTGGCCTGATGAGCAGGGGCCATTCTGAGAAGTCCACAGGGTAAGAGGTGGCACTGGGGTAGCACAATTTTATGAACACATTTTTCTGCTTTAAACAGTGAATTGCACGGCATAGATAGGGTTCCAGTTCCTGTTACAAACACCCAAAGGCTTCAGGGCGGCTTTTTCTCTAAAGCTACTTGGTCACTTGATCATGATACTAAACTGGGTTCCTCTGTTTGTGTGTGTGTGTGCGCACGTGCATGGTAATGGGGCTTGGACCCAGGGCCTTCACAGTGAGTTCCATACTTCTTTATTTTTTATTTTGAGACAGGACCTCGGTAAGTTGCTAAGTTCTCTTGGCTGGACTTGAGCCAGTGATCCTCCTACCTCAGCCTCCCAAAGTGCAGGGATTACAGGTACATGGCCCCATATCTTCTAAGTTTTCTATGAAGATAAAAGCTGAAGCACAGAAAGCCACTGTAAAAATCGTTTCCATTTTTTAAAGTACTAATGTGCTTGCTCTTCGTTACATCGAATCCACTTGGGTTTTAATCTAGTTGAAGTCTTTTTTTTTTTTTTTTTTTTTTTTGAGACAAGATCTCCCTGTGTAGTTCAAGCTGGTCTTGAGTTCATGTGTAACCCACGCTGGCTTTGAATTTGCAGTGCTCCTCCTGTTTCAGCCTCTTGAGTGCTGAGATTACAGACCGCACCCAGGCCTCTAACGAATTGTAGAGCCAGTTTGCCACCCCTCTAAATTACTGCGATTTTGCCTTGTCTTGCAGCCTTTAATTTTGAAACAATTCTTATGAGAAGTTGCAGACACAGTGCAGACAACTTGTATGCCAATCATGCTGCCCCCTACATGCACTGCGCCCATTACCAGTGTCAGGCAGCACAACGGCTCACCCCGTGCAGTTGCCCTGGTTGAGTCTTGGCCACAGCTCATGTCTGCTGTGCTCATTATCCAGTGTGCTTTTGTGATTGGTCCTGTGCCACTTCATCGTGGTAGAATGTCGATGTCCGCTCCCGGCCGGCAGGAAGGACACACGACACAGTCTGGTAGTGGACAACCTTTTCTTTTTATTTTCCTTCTCCGTACAGCCTGCCCTGGGTTCTCCCAGCTGAAGCCTCCTTTGGTCCGCTCCCCGCGGCTCCTTTTGTGCTTCAGCCTGCCCCAAAGCCTCTACCGGTCCGCTCTCCGCGGCTCCTTTTGGGCTTCTACTTCCGGGCTTCTATCTGGCTTCTTCTTCCGCCCAGGGGTGGCACCGGTATATATACGGGTACAGTGTCCAATCATGTTAAAGTAAGCAAGGCAAGCTGATTGGCTAACATCATCAGTTGCCAGGCAGACTATATTGTTGAGCGGGTTGTTTACGCGGTAAGCAGGAAACTAACATATTCGATGGGAGGGGTAATCTACCTCAGGCCTCACTCTTTACTACAGGCCTCACGTCCGCCAAGTGAGGCGACCGGGCTCGGGGCTGCGGCTCCCAACAGTAGAACACACCACCTCCACTGGGACCAAGAGCCCAGCCTTGCCCTCTAGGCCACCGCACCACACACTTGAACTGACCGTATGGGGTTCAGATTCCCGTCTTTCACTTAGCCCCCGTGTTCTACTTCCTACGTGGCTCGTCGCTGTTCTGAGGGTGGAACCCCGGGCCTCACACAAGCCAGGCGAGCACAACCCACCCTGCCCCACTCCCTGAGCTGCCTTCACAGCCCTTTTTACTCTTTATTTTGAGACAGGGTCTTGCTAAGTTTCCCAAACTGAGCTTGGATTTGCAATCCTCCCGCCTCAGGCTCTGGCGTAGCTAGGATGATGGGTGTGCACCACTGCGTTCAGCTGTTTGTCAAAATGCATGGAGTGCTGTTCCTCATCTGATCACCAGAGCTGATCTATCCACTTGCCTCTGAAGGACTACGTCCTAGGTGCTTCCAATTTGGGACAATTGTAACCAAAGCTGGTACACACACTAGTGCACAGAGCTCTGTGTGGTCTAAGCCTGCAGTTCATTCGCGTGAATACTAAGGAGCACTTTATAATCTGCCTCCAGCAAACGGGAGCCCTGCGTCTCTTCATCTGTGCTGTGGGTGCTGGGCTCTCTATTGGTTGCTTACCCTCCCAAGCAGTCATCTGAAAAGATTTGCAGTACCCTGGTGACACAGGACAGTAGCCCATCTACTCACTTTCATCG